GGGGGGGGGGGGGGGGGGGGGGGGGGGGGGGGGGGGGGTGGGGGGGCCTGGTGTCCGTACCTCCTTGGCGTGCTCCTCCATGTGATTCAGTGTGAACTCGTCCGCATCCACCAGCTGGAACTCATACTGGTGCAGGCAGAGCTGAGCCCCCACATACAGGTCCTGTGCCCCAAAGCACTCAGACGCCTCACCCTTTAAGAGCTCCTGGTCTGGCTTCTTCACCCGCCTCCTCTCCAGGAACTTACCCCCAGTCACACCTTGGGGGGGCACCACACCAAATATCTGGTTCTTACCGCTACTATAACCATGTCTGTGAAACTACACCTACCTAGTTATGCCACATTCTGCCTCCATACCAGTCTGCACCGATTAGGTGGTTAACTGTGTTCCTTGACTATGTCTTAATGTCCACATTACATTGGTTACATAATATTGTTTGTATTTCATAGTATTTATATTCTGATTCTTACTTTCTCATGGTTACATTATTTATATGTCATAGTATTTATATTCTGATTCTTACTTTCCCATTTGCACTGTGACCAACCGGAATGATATTTTGTCTCAGGGAAGAATGATGCTCAGACTCTCATTTCTGATTAACACCCAACAATGTTCGACTTTGCCTGTTCAACGGAGTGTTTTCGTCATGCTGTTATCACTTTTAAGACTCCAGAGCTTAAACAGCATTTAGAACTTAAAATAGCAGCAAAAATCGTCATGCTGCCGGGAATCTATTACACCTCCATGGGGTCCAGATGTTACACAAGTGAGAGCAGACTTCACACCTGAGTTCCTCTGGGGTGGCTCAAACACGGAGATGGTGTCGTCGCTCAGGTAGAAGGAGATTATGAAGAGTCTCTCCCGGTCGATGGGATCCTCGGACACCATCTTGCCCTCAAACCTGAGCACGTTACTCACCAGACCCTGTCTGTAAGGAGCGACAGGAACAAGTGCAAATTCACACAAAACATGTGTGATATATTTTTTCACACTTCAAAGAGAATACTGAGCTGACCAACTAGATGTCATGTGATCTCTACCTCACAGGAGCAGTGGGGTGCCATGGGTATCTGTGATGTCATGTGATCTCTACCTCACAGGAGCACTGAGGCACTATGAGTATCTCCGAGATTTACCTGTCTTTTTCCATAAACTTCCGGAAGTCTTTCTTGGGGGGCTTGGGCAGGAGTCCCTGACAGGAGGAGAGGGAGTCTTCCTCAGAGTCAAATCCATTGTAGGGGGGCACCTGCCTGGTTGGTTTAGGGGCTGGGCGGGGTTTGTACGGGACCGGAGTGAAATCCTCTACAACACCCCCAGAGGCATGTGCAGGAGTGGGGGAGGGGCAGGGGGGGTCAGAGGGAGAGACATGGTCAGTCATCTGTGTATCGAAACAGCAGGTTCCTCAACAGAGACAATCTGGGTTTCCATCAGAGGGACCTGTCAGAGGAAACTGTGTGACTAATGCAGCAGGGTACTCAGTCAGAGGGGTACTCAGTCAGCAAGATTCTCAGTCAGTGGGGTACTCAGTCAGCTGGGTACTCAGTCAGCAAGATTCTCAGTCAGTGGGGTACTCAGTCAGCTGGATACAAAGTCAGCTGGGTACTCAGTCAGCAGGATACTCAGTCAGTGGGGTACTCAGTCAGAGGGGTACTCAGTCAGCAAGATTCTCAGTCAGAGGGGTACTCAGTCAGCTGGGTACTCAGTCAGTGGGGTACTCAGTCAGCTGGGTACTCAGTCAGCAGGATACTCAGTCAGTGGGGTACTCAGTCAGCAGGGTACTCAGTCAGTGGGACACAAATCAGCCTACTGTGCACGGATATGTACGCAGTCCTCTCACTTTACACACCACAGCGTGTAGGATCAACGTGATCACCCCTCAGCCTTTATCTGTGCCTGGAGAGACATGGCTCCCTCTCAAGCCCTGTTCCCTGCTATCTTTCATGCTGAAAATCTGGAATGGTGGATGCATCTTTTACATCTATCCGTCTATCCGTCTTCCAGGGCTATGACGAGCTGGGACTCTGCCAGGAAGCTCAGGGCAGCCAGCCCGCTAACATCGTTCACAGCTGTGTCTTCTTAGAAATCCAGAGATCCTCGTTGAAGGTACTACATTGGAAAACAAGGTCCCTGAGACTTCTAACCGTATAATAGCTACACAAAAAACTGTGTATCCTACTCAAAATTCATCCCAGTCATCATGTTGATAAACATTTGGATTAACAGCTCAGGGAGAAATGAAGGAGGACTTTGGCTTTGACATTATAAAGTAAATTCTTGTTTTCAGAAACCCACATGGATTTAATTTTTGGTTTCATAGCCAACCGTATTTAAGCACTGAATCACTGAAAATGAGTAAATTAGCATTAATGTGTCAACACAAATTGGGGGGAAAACTGCATATACAGCAAAGTCCCTGTGGCAGAGATGGCAAAACACAAGCCGACAGGTCAGAAATCAATCGCCTGGGCTCAGGGGCAGCGGAGGGACACAGACACCCCGACAGATTCATGGGGAGGGACACGGACACCCCCACAGATTCAGGGCTCCCACAGTACATCAAATTATACATAACATAGGGCAGGGGTGCCCAAGTTGACGTTTTGTCAGGGGGTCCAGAATTTCTAGGTATATTGCTGCCAGCGTGGTCAGAAACCAGCATGCAATACCTGAGCCCTTCACTGATGGGTGAAGGCTAACCCTTTACTGACATCTGGTGGGCAGGCATAGGTACTGATGCTGTTCTCATCATGAAACCCTGTTGCCCCAAGATCAGGTCACTGATGGAACAAATTAAATAAAACAGGAAGACATCTGGCCACCACTGAGCTCACAAAGACACCATGTCTTGCTATGTCATCTGAATCTATGGATTACCTGCTTCTCTGGTTCATGCCAAGTTATTTTCTACACTAATTTGGGATTTTCATGTCCACTACACCCACGGCTTACCTATACCATATTTGGAGCGGTAGAACTCCTTGGTGAAACTGTCACAGTCACAGAGCAGCACCTTCCTGCCCCAGACGTTGATAACCGTTCCCAGGGCCAGATCACAGTCCTTGTAGAAGTCTTCCTGGATCGCACCCGTCTGTATAAAGCAGCCAGAGGCGGTCGAGAAAGTTACAATCCATGCCAGGATTTTTTTTCAACCAACCAGTTGAGTACTCTGTGACTGTGACTCTTTATACTCAACTAGTTGGTTGAAACAAAGTCCAGGTCTCAATTTTTACTTTCTCGACCTGTAATGTCCGCCTCTGAAAGCAGCAAACAAGGCCTTACTGTACAATAACGCCCCTCAGCTCACCTGACAAATAATGTGGTGGGTGGGCTTACTGTGTGCTGTCAATCAACACTGAACCCAAAGAGAGCGAGTAAAGTAGCCAATGAGAAGTGCATGATAACCATGCCCACTGTGGGTTAATATCTTATTTCATACCTCATGTTTCCATGCATCACTCTTTATAACTATGCACAGAAATTTAGACAGGGGACGACAGTCTAAAGAACGGAAGAAGGGGATTCACAGAACTTAACATATTCATGTTACAAAGTTCTCAGAGAATTGAAGACTGAGGTCGATGCCTTATATCCCACAGGAATCATACACACAATAGAAAACATTGATCCCCAAATAGTCAAACTTTACCTACTTTCAAGCTATCCAGCATGTAGCGCCCCCCCTGTCCCAATGGCCCAAAAACATTGAGGACTGTGCGATTGGTCACTTCTCCGGGCTGCAGTTTGGGGGTGGGCGCGTGCTGGTCAGAGACAGAGTGGGAATAAGGAGATCAAACATTCCGGCACTTTGTTCCATGTGCGTCCCTTTTATTTATCTCTAATGTTGCAGTCAGTGACAAAATCTGCTGCATCCCTGGATATATTAGTTGATGTGAAAGCTCTGGGTTTTGTCCAAGGACATTCATCCAAAAACAAATCATTACTTACATAGTTAATGATGTTTTTGCCTGGTAGAAATGAAAACCAGAATAAGTTTTGTTAGTAATAAAATCAGCATTTTGTGGTTTTTCTGCCGTGTGGATCACAGCCAGCAGCAGAGCCATGTACATGACACGTTTCCTGCCCTGTTGACACGTTTCCTGCCCTGTTGATACGTTTCCTGCCCGGTTGATACGTTTCCTGCCCTCTTGGCACGTTTCCTGCCCTGTTGATACGTTTCCTGCCCTGTTGGCACGTTTCCTGCCCGGTTGACACGTTTCCTGCCCGTTGACACGTTTCCTGCCCTCTTGGCACGTTTCCTGCCCGTTGGCACGTTTCCTGCCCTGTCGGCACGTTTCCTGCCCGGTTGACACGTTTCCTGCCCTGTTGGCACGTTTCCTGCCCGGTTGATACGTTTCCTGCCCTGTTGACATGTTTCCTGCCCTGTTGACATGTTTCCTGCCCTGTTGACACGTTTCCTGCCCTGTTGACACGTTTCCTGCCCGGTTGACACGTTTCCTGCCCGGTTGATACGTTTCCTGCCCTGTTGGCACGTTTCCTGCCCGGTTGAAACATTTCCTGCCCTGTTGACACGTTTCCTGCCCGGTTGACAAGTTTCCTGCCCTGTTGGCACGTTTCCTCCCCGGCTGATGCCCCACCTTGGGCAGCTTGCTCCTCTTCAGGAATTTAGGCACAGCATCACGACCTGAGTTGGGGCAGAAGATCTCCCGAATCTCCATGGTGTCGTCAGACAGGAAGTAGTGGAGGGTGAGCTCACGGCAGTCCCCAAACATGCTCTCCGAGTCGTCCCACAAGCAGAAGAAGTGGAGAACCTTACGGTCGTGTTCGAGGAACTGCCTCAGCGTGTCCTGCCTCTCGTACGGCCGCAGAGGCTGCATGCTGCCCTCCATCTGCAGCACACAGAAAATGCCCCGTTCAGCCAGGTGGGCTGGACACCAGTACAGAACCAAAAAAGCTCTGGTTCGATGTGATGAACCTGCTCACCTGCCGGCGAAGGATGCTGTACTTGTCCTCTGGGGTGGGAGCCGGCGGGTTCAGCCGCACGCCGAGCTTCCTCAGAAAGTTGTGTGTGAAGGCGTCGCAGTCGGTGACCATGAAGGTGCGGGAGTAGAGCACTATCTCCTGGTTGATGTTGAAGTGACGCACGCTGTAGAATTGGTCATCTTTAGGTGGCGGGAGAGGTATCCGGTGGCGACGGATCAGGGTTCCTGGGACAGGGACTGCAATTAAAGTGGACGGCCATTTCCACAAAAATCATTGGGTGTTTCTCAATATGTATGCTGGACCGTACTTGTTTTCTTGAGTATCCATTTACGTCATTGTCAATTGCCAAAGACCCGTTCCAATACTAAGAACAGAAGTTCTGAGAACGGTAAAAATCTGCGGATGTCATTCCTACCTCTCCCCAAATATCAATGGTGCATTGGTTGCATCTTTGCCAAATGAGACAAATCCCATGATTCATTGTTCCTCAAGTTCACTCTCTAGGCAAATTAGCAAGACCACTCTTGCCAAGACCAGAAGTACGATCTTTGCGTTATTGGCATTGAGAAACATCCATTGAGTTTCATTGGTATTTATGAATGAATTAATTCCACATGCCACTGCACAGTACCTTGTGTAATGCCACTGTTTCTGAATTCTGGCTCTACCACCTGAATGGTGTCGTCCTCCAGGTAGAAGTAAATCTTACACTGCCTGACTCTCACCGACTCCACCCTGTTCTCAGTCACGGCCTCCTGGAAATACGCATCAAAGCACAGCGCCTGCAAACGACACCATATCTTGCTGTTCTCATGTAAAGGAACCATTTGTGGATGTGCAAAACTTTAACTTTTCTAGGATAAATATACAAACTGGGAAAACAGACACTTGGCAAGCTACCCTTCATCAGAACTATCAACAAAGCAAATGGTAAGTTGGTCTGTGGTTTATACATGTGATTACGCCTCCAAAGGGAATTAAACACATTCGTTACGAATGCCATTTTCTTTGTTATTGAGGAGTATTTTGTTCTCAGTTGTTCTCCATGGAGAATGCTTAATTAAAAATCACCAAAAGGGTACACTTAATGTTCCCAACAATACCAAATTAGCTTGCATAATATAACCCCACGGAGCCTGAATGTAGGTCCCATTTTGACTATAATTATTGCACAAACCTGTTTGTCAAACGTGATCCATAAGGGTCCCCCTCCCACCGATGGGAGCGTGGAGTGTGTGGAGCGGAGCTCCTGACCCGGGAGCGGCTCCCTTCCGATGCCCGGCTTCTCGGAGCCCACCATCATGGCTGCTCCATTGCGATAATCGAAATGCTGAGGTTTGTGAAACGCTTCCTTTCCCAACTGGGAAAAAACATGCGAAATCTCACCCGTAGAACCCGTATACCGTTAGATAATTAGCTGAATTTACTCTCAATCAAAAACAATGAAATAATTATTAAATAAGACTTGAAAACTATTACAAAGGAGGGACAATTAAAGCAGTGTTTATTCGGATTTTGAAAGGTTATTGTCTGGATACAGTGTACGGCAAAACTACTCCGAAGCAGGCTGAACCAGATACATAGCCGTTTCGTCAAATCGTCAATCATGCCCGTCCGCTTTCATTCGGGAAAACTGATGTTACGGGTTAATTTGCACACGACTTACGGTTTTCCTATAAGAGCTGTCCAGAAGCATAGGCAGCGCCATGATGCGGACTTGGCTGGCGAACTTCGGGCTATTACGGGTTACTGTTTACCGTTGCCAAGATACGGACGCCAAAATGACGCGAGTCAGTCTATAGTAAAACATATAGACGGATGGATGGATGAGCAAGCAGTCAGAGACAGACACTATCTCTAACCTGTAAATTACCATTCATTTACAACTACATTCACAATAAGAAATTATTCTAAAAAGCCACAATGGCTGCTGTATGTACTTTAAAGAAGGCAGAACACGAAGACACCAGGTTTACTTTTTATTTTAGATGTCCACATTCGAACTTATATAAGTAAAAGAAACTGTTTGGTTATTTTGGCACAAAAACAGATACATTGCACTGAACCTTTACAATTAACATTGTACCGCTGAAACGGCAATACATAAATCATTTGTAAGTGAAAAACCTATTCACAATAGCTATATTATTTTACGTACCTACAGTGTTTATAATTCACATAATGGAAATGCTGTGTTTTCTATGCAGCACAATAGACAGGATTGTGTAATCAAGTTGCCACAAACATAGGCTGTTGCTGACAAGTCAACCTATAGAGCTGATAATCAGAATAGGAGTGCGATGGACGAGAGGCCCGTCCACCATACAGTACATTAGTCCAGTTGTCTTGCGTTGCTTTGTTTTTTAAGACTTTCCACTGGTAGCCAGCTATAGACGCACAGTTTGGGGGGGTGGGGGGGGGTTAGCGTATCATCATGGCATAGCTGTGGGGCCGTGCTGAATGCCCGCCTGTGTGGATGCAGCGCACTGTCTCCTGCCCGCCGGCGCAAGGTGGGAGAAAATACTTCAGAGTTGCATCAGCTTCCCGCTCATAGGTAAACTCCAGCGTGAGACCTTAGGATGCCAGCCCAAGCAGAAATCCTCCCACAAATCCACTAGACAGCACAATGTTCCTCTTCACAAACTCTGTGGACTACAAAGTCACAGGCACAGTCAGCAAGACAGCATGAAACGCCCTGGCTTCAAAACAAAACAAAACAAAACAAAACAAAACAAAACAGAAATAACTACAGCCTTTAATGTGATATGCAATAAAACAGGTCACTGGGTAAAACTGAACTGATACGAGATATGTAATGCTATTCTATTATATTGTATCATTCCTCTCCTCTCTTGAACAATGTTCAATCGTTTGTTGGGGGTATTTATAATTGAGTGTTCCACAAAGCAGGACTTCTCAGTTAGCTGGGTAAACTTAAGCTGTATGTCATGATTGTCCAATAAGAGTTTTGATAAGGAGCATTCCTTTTTCCTGATTATCTAATAAAAGTTTTGGTAAGGAGCATTCCTGTTGGACGATCATGACTTCTAGCTTAATTTAACTCTAACTGGGATATCCCGCTTTGTGGAACTCCCAAAGATCTCCGATTTCCTGTTTTTATTTTCATTTTAAAGTGAAAATTAAGACCACCAACTTAATTATTCATCTTTAAAAGGCATCACAGCCAAAACCAATATTAAAAGTTATGGATTTATGGGAAGTATGAACATTTCTGAATATTGACCACTGCAATAACATTAGTGAAGCTTCTTTATTTCTAGAAACTGAAATAAATGTCAAATCATAGGTCAGTTTTAACAATGTAGGGAACAAAAGACTAGTGTGAAACGGAAGAATCTCTTCCATAATAATCCATAATAAGAAAAGTATACTGTATCAAGATTGCTAAATTCACATCTGGCATTACTCACCTTCTAGTTTTTACAAAATGAACAATAACATTATCCAAAGAATGGATCACTTCACAAAGTCACTGATGGTGATGCGTAACGTGCATTACAAGAATCAGGTACATTTAGATGTGGGCAGCATAAGATTCACCTCTTCGATAAACGTGTTAATCTCGGGGGCTGCTTTGTCGGCCCTCTTCTTCAGCCGTTTCTTGGCTTTATTTACATCCTTCTCGACTTTCTTCCAGTCGACTTGTACGTAGCCACTGTGGTTTGCGATCTGCGGAGAGTGATAGGGCCACTGTGCGACGGGTTCCACTTTCACAAAAAAACCTGATACACAGTACAAGACATCTTATATAATCAAAGACTGATTCCAGCAGGATTCCTTTAAAATCCCTTAAAACTCTGGCTGGACTTGCTTTCCCATGATTATCTGTTGTATGATTACCTGTAATAACAGAAATCCTCCACCAACAGCTGTCGCTGCTATTTTCCCAACCCTTTGAAAGAGATAACCTGCACACCTTTACAAAACAAAAAAAGACATGTAAATGACCTGGGTACGAGGATTAATAAACGAACATAATACAGTGTACCTGGTGCTAGTTATGCAGTAATCCTTTGCTACTAACTGTGCACCAAAAATTGAAATGACTGAAACTGAAAACACACTTTGTGGCTAAATGCAATCTCTGTTCAGGAAATCACTTCTCATTCTGTGCAGACCACGTACCAGCCAGTCACACCACCCATCATAATCTGCGTGGCCACCGAGTACTTCTCCGCGATCGGGCCCGAGTTGTTGCCGAAGACGCGGCTCCACCACTGGTGCCGCCTGGCGTAGTCCGTCAGGTCCATCACCTCGAAGGACTCGTCATCGCTCTCCGGATCTACTCCAGACAGTAGTGAGATGTTAGCAGTATCATGCCTGCTTTGCTGACAGTGTCAAATTGACAGCCTATGCATGCACGTCAATCTCTCTGTAAATGCGGGCGCACTAATGAATAATTGATTGAAAATATAAAATCCATACTGTACGTAATGGAATGCATTATGAAGGCCTGTAACTTTGACATCTTATAATAGCTCTTCACATTCGAATGATTCCGAATACGAATATAGCCATTTAAATATTAATATTACATAATTTGATATATTTCTTTCTGAAAAGCAGGCTGTCAGTGGATCAAACAGAGAGGTAAGTAACGAGTTGGAGCTAAGCATTACACGGAAGACGTTAAGAAGTATTAACAGACATTCCAGTTACAGACAGTTTGCTTTTTGAAAAGCGGACTAGTTAAGGCTGGAGTCCTTTCCCGTTGAACACCTCGAGCTGTGTTTATCTCCACAGCTAGTTAGCTTTAGTGTCACCCATGCAAAGGTATCAGAAACCGTATCGGACAGCATTGTTACTTCGTGGCTAACCGATTGGTAAACCTCATCGCGACTTGTGCTGTTAAACCGTATGACCTCTGCAGTTATAATAGTGTGTATCCATGTGTGTATCAATCAAGCAAACAAATAAACACTCACTCACCTTCCCTGCGCTCCGCCATTTTGCAGTAAACAGTGGGAACCTGGTCAGTCAGTCTCTCAGTAAGCACCGCCCGCCGTGTGACGTCATTTAAAGGAGCAGCGATTGTTATCGTTTGCAAATTAAAAATGTGTGCACAGACGCACCGGGGAAATATTTCTGACTGCATTGCCAACATTATACCAATAATTAGTCGTCTTCAATGACCCGTAATTTTCAAGCGTAATTTTTTACGTAACAAATTTAGATAAATGACTATTTCACCTCAATAAAAAAATAAGAATTTGAAAAAATATATCTCCTGTAGCCTACATTTCGCACCAATTGCTTAAGAGATTTTGCAGTTATTTTAACTTACCTTTTGTCTGCATAAAGCTCATGGAATAAATTGTAAATATAGTTTGCATCAACATATAATTTAACTGTGAGTGTACGATTATGTTCTTGTGAATTTATGTTGTTTTATTTTAGTTAGGCTGGAGATGAGGGCTGAAAGAACGAATGCTGGGAGGAAGCCAATGCCCTGAAGTGGCAAGTTGGCACCAACCCAGCGGCACTGATCATCTTCACATGGCTGAAACCTTTACCACAACGGAGCTTGCTCAAAATAAGCCTTTACCGTTAACTATTGCCCTATGTGCCTTAAAGTTAGGACTGTAGCTGAATGACATGGTAACCATGCAATCTTCCAGGACATCTGTCTGGGAAGCCGCACTGGCAATCCGTCTTTGGGCTCTTCATGGCGAGGAAACTCAATTCATGTTTCCATTGTCGCCCATCGATGTAAGACCCTGCGCTCATTTGGCTAAATACAGCTACCGGGATTATTATATTACTCATCATCAGCACTTGAATAGCTTGATTTGATCTTCCTCCCATGTAAGATCAGCTGTACCTTTACTTAATCTGGAAAAGGTAATCAAAAGTAACCATTTTAATGACAGCAACAAGCAAAACGTTTAGTTCAAAATAATTGCCCAGTGACACAATTCTAGGAAAATTTCGTAAATATTGCCCATTATGTATAATTTAGTTTTTTTATGACTGAAGAAACTAAATTTCAAAGAATGACGCTTTAAAAATGTGTTTCACAGAAGTTTTAGCTTGGAGTACTGAGGATGAGGACAAAACTGATGCCAAGTGTCATGCAGTGCCTAGAAAAGTGACTAGAAACCAAATTCCTCTGTGACTGTGGTGAGAGATTTTCATTTTGAGGGGTGAGAGGGTTTCACTAATTATTATTAGTATTCTCTTTGGAAACACAGGGATACAAGTAGCAGAAGAGCAAAAGTTAGCCTGTCTGGTCTGATCCCACAGGAGAGCTACTATATCACAAATTGCTGAATGCTGGCTATAGGCACCGGAATACACAATGCATTTCCACCAATGGGCTGCATAGCCACAGACCGGTCAGATGGCCATTTCCACCACTGAAAGTGCCTATAATGAGCACATGTCAGAAGTGGACCATGGAGCAACAGAAGAAGGTGGCCTGGTCTGATGTGTCACATTTTTTGTTATATCTTGTGGGTGGCCGGATACATGTGCATCACTTACTTAACTGGGAAAGAGATGGCACCAGGATGCACTATGAAAAAATGCAAATTGGTGGAGGCAGTGTGACACTCTGGGCAATGATCAGCTGGGAATTCTTGGGCCTAGGTATTCATGATCATGCTACATTGATGCATTCCAACCTCCAAAATCATTGCTACAGACCAAGTAACACCTTCATGGCAATGATATTCCCGGATAGCAGTTGTCTCTTTCAGCAGGATAATGTGCCCTGCCTGTTTAGGGATGGTCTGAGGAACATGAAAAAGAGTTCAGGTGTTAACTTGGTCTCCATATACCCCAGATCTCATTCCGACCGAGCATCTGTGGGATCTGCTGGACAAACAAATCTGATCCATGGAGGCTCCACCTCGCAACTTACAGGACTTAAAGTATCTGCTGTTAACGTCTCAGTCCCAGATACCACAGGACACTGTCAGAGGTCTTGTGGAGTCCATGCCTCGATGGGTCAGAGCTGTTTTGGCAGTACAAGTGGGATGTTATGGCGGACTGGTGTACATCACAAAGCTAAAATGCCATCAAGTCAAAGTCTGTCCTTGATAAACTGTTGGAATATGGATTTTTCAAAGGAATATTGTTAGCATCGTCACACAGCAGACCAGTTTCTCCCAAAGTAAACCTATCATAAATTATCACGACACACAAATATGTCTGAAATATCTCTGCGACAGTTGGGTTATGAGTATAATATTTTTCTTCAGATGTAACTCAAAAATGTTTTCCATAGAAAAAATACCAAAGGGATGACATGTACACATTTCGTATAGGAGTGGTATAGCGGCTCATCAGGTACCGGTAGAAAATTATTCAAATTGTGCAAGCTTGAACATGGGCTGGCTCGGTTGGTTTTTTTTTTTTTTAAACCATTGTAAGAATTATTCAAGTAAATCAGCCATTTTAAATTGCACACTGACGTATGGCCCTCCGTCTTTAATGCACTGTGCATTCCCGGGATAGACTCTCTGTCGTCAAACGTTTATTTAGGTAAGCGATTATCAAAACTGATTAATATGCGAAACACTGAACTACTTTTATTGCACATCATCTACACTTTAAAGCTAATATGTCATTTGTTGCATGTCGCTAATAAAATGACAACTGTAAAATTCAACAAATCAATAAATACGGGGATTCTCCATCAGCTAAGTTAATTTGAAAAATTTGGAATTTCTTTGATTGACGAAGCTTTTTTAATAAAAACAAAAAAACAAAACTGACTACATCAATAAAAAAACACATTGCAAATTAAGGAGGAAAGGTAATTGTTTTCTGAGTGGTCAAAATACAAGCAATATATCAATATAAGTATTTCAAGACACAGTTGTTGTTGGAAAAAAGTAGATATATGTTAACCACTAATTTCCCACTAATAATCACTACACTCAGCAGAACATCACAACAGTTGACAAGTTCGCTAAGAAAATAGGGCATTAGACGCTGCAACTGTGTATTTATATCTTGGAACAATCTAACTTGATGTCTCACACCCAACTTACACTAATGAGAGTTAACATTTAGCCAATGAGACAATAGAAACTAAATTACATCATAATAAATGCAGAAATATAACCAATCGCAGCAGATCTTAGAAATGCGTAAAGTTGACTGTGTATTTTTTGTCCTCCCCCTAGTAAGTTTATATGAGAACCGAAGCCCCGGAGAAAGGAATCTGAAGACTGGCTAGTCACGTGTTGACGTATGAGTGCTACTATTGGCTGTGGGAGGAAAGAGGGCGTTCCAACGACGGCGGCGTGGGTTCGCCTGTGTGACACAATTACAACAACTTTGAGCTGGTGGTTGGGGGAAGTTTGTGATATTACCAAATAAATCCTGATTAAAAACACCCTGCGAAAACTGCTGTATGCATCACATGGCATTGACTGCATAAAGTATTTTCTACAAAACAAAAAACAATGTAAAGGGAAATCATTTGGAAGGCTTCTTTTTCCTAGAGGATTTACAATTGTTTTCACGTATTAATCCTGGAGGGGGGGGGGAAAGTTACTTTCCTCGTATCTGTTTTTTCGCTCGATTTTTAAAGAATCGTCGGAGTCTCCCGCCCACTTTCCAGCCGCGTTTTCATGAAATCGTGCGGAGTGTCGCTCGCCGCCGTCGCCTGCGTTTCTGCTCGGAGTCTCGGCGCCGCTGGTGATGAGGAAAAGAAAATGGCGGCGGGAAAAGCGAGCGAGACCGAGGAGGACTTCCCGAGGCTGACGGCGCAGGAGAGGGACCGCCTGGTCGGGATGGACAGGTCAGAGTCGCCAGGCGACGCGCTTTTCTCGCGCTTTCGGCCGCGCACCGGCGCCTGCGGCCGCACGGCGTTACAGCGCGTCGACTAACGCCGAGCCGCCTGTGTTTGTCTCCCCTCTGCCTTGCAGCTCTCTGTTTGGATTTCAGAGGCTTCATGAAGATGGCGCCAGAACGAAGGCCTTGCTGTTAAAGGTATGTCAGGGAGCCGCTACTCTCCCGCAAACAGTCGTGCCCCGTGTGTTTCACACCTCGGGTGCGGGAGGGGGGCGACACTTTGCACCTGGGCGATCGGGATAACGTAAAGTTGTGCAGAAAATTGGCCATCTGTACTTCGGGAAAGGCGGAGGATGATTGTGCGCATAGCGGTCCCGCTGCATTTACATCGCCTTGTGCAGGCTGCTGGCTCGCCACAGTGGTCTCGGTTTGTTTTTCCTGCAGTGGCTGTGGTATCGTTGGGATTTGTGCGCCGGAACGTGCAGTTTGGTACTCCCGATGAGTTGTGAAATAAACCCGGGCGGTGCGCTTGCTGAAGGGGGAGCCGCAGCGGCCGCCAGATGAGGAGCCCACCTAGGTAATGACAGCTTGGAGGCTGCGAGGCGCTGCACAAATGACGGCTCTGGCTGCATCAAGCCCCGCCGATTCCCCAAGCAGCGCTGCGGATCGACTTAAGATGAAGATGATGGTGATGATGGCGCAAACTGCATTTTGACGTGGAAGTTTTATTTTTAAACGACGACTTAAGGAGTGAACGCGGGGGCCGTGATCTTCTGGGCTGGTTAGTGCAAGCTAATTCGCCTAGATGGCAGTCTGAATAGCTGCGTGTTTGCAGGTATAAATATGTATGTTTGATAAGTTGCTTCTGCGTTGAAAGCGCCGTGGTTCGGAACCCGCTGCGTCTCCCGGACCTGCGCGCTTCTGCGCCGCCTCGCCCGCCTCCTGCGGCTCCGGCCTTCGTTACCTCCTGTCAGCCGCTCGGCATTTCGCTATCAAATCAAGTTGCTACGGTTTGTTTTTTCTCTCTCATTTTAAACGCACCCAGCTAGTTAGCTGACTAGTAATGGCTGCTGCAGACGGCCCAAGATGGCGGGACGGGGAGGAGGGAAAAAGAGTCTAGGTGGGGGAGCTAGCTAAATCAACCAGATATGTAATTTGTCATGCTTTATGTAATGCGACCGTCGGATAGCAGTTAGGTTGTTTCCCCTTCGGGTGGCTGCCTTGCATTGACCCCCCTCTCTCGGGCTTCAGCTAGGGGTGTGTCGCCCTTGTCCACCTGTTAGCGGACACGGTCAGAACCAGCCTCCACACACTGGGACCCATCAGAACCAGCATCCGCCCGTTAGTGGACATGACCAGCATCAGTGTCCCCCTGGAATCCATATCATCACCATTGTATATAACCATAAGTTTAACTACCATTGCCCTTTGCATCAACCTGAACATGCACCTAGACAGTCGTCACAACATCAGCATGAACCTGCTTGCCTTTGCTGTCACGCTCTTCACTGGTCGCATCACCAGCCACCTGTTAGTTGTGCTGACATCACCCATGATCCATTGTAGGAGCTGGGTGTGGATAGTTTGCCTCGGTTAACATGCCATTTGATTGTAGTTGTCTCTGCGTTTGTTAGAGCACGTTAAGAAAAGCTTACACTCGCTTGGATGCTGTAGGGTTTGTGTTCGATTAATAATCCTTGTGGCTCGCATTTATTATGAACTCCTTGTGTGGTTTCTGATTAATTGTAAGCCACATGTTTTTTCTGAATGCTTCATTGGTTTTTAACAGTAGATATCGTGGCCCGCCAAGATGACTATCTTAATTCTGCCATTGAGTATTCTTGTGTTTATTTATCTGTGTGCATGTGGGCACGGTGTTAGGGGCGAATCTGAAGGGTGACCGTGTTTGTAATCCTGTTTATTATAAGGAGAGTGCTGCCTGTTTGTCTAAGATGGGTGTGCTGTGTTATCATTTGAAGGAATAGTATGTAATTGGTGCTGGGTCAGAATGCTATTGGTGTGTTGTCCCCTTTAAGGTTGGTTTTAGGCAGGTAATGTGTTTGTCTTCCTCTTGCCCTGTGACTTTCTGCTCCCGGCTCCGTAATCGTCATTCTGTAGTATTCCAGATGTCGTCACAAGAGGCTCTGTGACACGTGTTGGTCGGTGTTTTCCTCCCTTGTCTTGTCTGCACTCTCACAATGCAGCCAAGAAAGTGGATGTCAGTATTTGCTTTGCTTGCTATGGGTAGTTTTTAATAATATACCCCCTTACCTGTGCAGAAAACCAATATTGCTCATTAAAACAGCATCCGGTCTATAGTCCCCATTAACCTGATGATGAATTATTACAGGACAGATTTATCTGGAATTCCGGCTGTCTAATACAAGTTCAGTGCTATTTCCACGTTGTGTGTGGACTGCTTGGTCCCTGCTGTAAGCTCCCCCTTACCAAGCTATCTTGCAAAGTGCATAGTCAAACTCTGCTTTATATATGAATTTTAAAAGTTAATCTACCCCTTGACTGTCAAGGCCTTCGTTCATGTCCGGACCGGCGGGTTCTGTGTCACACAATCACACTTGCTTTATATTCCAAGCCTCCGATATTTCTTCCCTAAGTAGATCTCCCATATGCAGATGAGATGCTGTCATATGGGTAGAATTTGAATCCAGCCTTTTACAATGCGACTCATCGGGTATTGTTTTGTGCTGGATTGTTGAGGTGACATGTCTCCCTGGGGGGCATATGGGCAGCCCCCCAGTGTGGTTTGCTGAGGAACGGCATGTATTCGACCTGGGGAGGCCGTGCTATCAGTGCTGGTGGGTGTAAATCATCCTTGAATCTCGCCATAAGTGATATTTACGGTTATGCCTCAGATGTCTGCAGTAAGAAGGTAGTCTGTGTAGCTCTGAGTTGTTTAGCGATGGCTCCCGGTGCCTGTTAATCCCACTGTAAGTCGCTCCCCTAGCTGGTGGAGGGCGTGAGGGAGTAGGTACTGGCTGATGGACAGTTGTCTGTCTTGGGCCTCCTTGCAGGGACAGAATTGAGATCGCCAGTGTACGCTGCACTTAGCGCTGTCTGAATGCCCCCCCCCCCTCCTCTGTGCACCTCAGTGTCACACTTGTGAACCTGGGACTAAAGGCTCTGTCCAGGTTTGCTTTGCTTTTGGTGACTGTCATGGGCATTCTTGTGAGCTTAAGTACCGGGTGTTTTCAAGAGGAAACCTGTGATATCGCGCCCGTCTGGGGAGGCGCTGGTGCTGATAGGAACATCCCTGGGGGGGAAATGAGGCCAGTAACTGCAGGAGGGGGTGAGCAGCCTGGCAAGCCCCCCCCCCCCCCCCCCCCCCCCCCCCGGCCCCCGAATGCATTTATGTCTCCATGATTTCAGTGGCGTACACTTTGCACACGACTGAGGCATGGTGCGTCGAATTCGGGGTCCACAGACTACTCCTGCAAGTAGGTCATAAGAACTGCTGCTGGTAACAGCTGGCCGGACACGGCGCGTGTGTTTTGGCGTGCCGCAGATAATTCAGATTTCCTGGAAAGGTTGTTTCATTTCCCATAGCGTCCGTCTTGAGGAACAATCACACCCGACATAGTAAGGTTGTAAGCGGCCCGCAGGTTTTAAGTGAAGCAGCTTCAGCGGCTGTGTGGGACTCACCTCTGCTGGGTGCCTGATGTTCTCCACCCTGCCTACCTAGCCGGGCCTTCTTGTGAGCTGGGGTGTGCTTAGGGTGGGGAGGTGTGCTCTGTCGCGGTTCCAGTCTGGGTAAATATCGGCTCATGGTGACCATTTCGGTACAGTTGTAGTGTTTTGGCTGCTGCTTAGTCAGGAATGTGAAAGATTGAATCTTCCCACCAATCAGCAGCCATCCGTCGCCTCGGAGCCCGTGTGCTGCTGTTTGTGTGCTGTCTGCTCTGGGGGTCTTGATGGCCTCCACGAAAAAGGCTGCCTCACCATTCCCTCATTTCTGAGGGTTTTTCCTTAAATCGGCTCGTAGCGCAATAAGTCACACGGTGAAGGAGCTTCCCTGTTTGCTGTGCACCAGGCCTCCTGGTTTTTATTTTAAGGGCATCTCTTTGTGGGGGGGGGTCCCCAATTGTGTATTATTCAGCTGCGATCAAAGTGTGATTTTTGGCCGTCTTAAAATTGAGAAGCTCGTCCACCCCCCACCCCCAACAGTTAAACACGGTGTCTCGGTGTTTCGTGAATGTCTGCATTGTTAAACAGCATCCCTTGGAGTGTGTGACCCAGGAGCCGTGGCGACAGGCTGTACTGTGTGTGACACGTTGCCGTGCGATTTCACATTTATCCTCCTCCGTGCTCGCAGCTTGGCCGCTGCCGATTCAGCGGGACCTTCGGGAATCTGGCGATTCCCTAGAAAACCCCTCTGCCTTTCAGTGTTTGTTTGGCTGTTTTAATATCACCTGAATGGCTGGATGTGACTTTGTGCGCCTGCAGCGGAGTCTGCGTGTTGGGAGATTCAGAGCAGAGTAGCCAATCAGCTGCCGGCATCGGTCTGGGCAATCAGCATCTCCACCAACAGCATTTGCTCCCACTACCAGGGCCAGGGGGACGCTTTGTTGTCCAGTATGTGTTCCTCGTTTTTGGGACTGATTCTAAAAATGGCCGTTTCTCCTGGAAATGTAGAAACTATAGTCTTGTTGACCTTGTATGTATTTTAGAAGCACAGTTTGTACCATGAGCGCCTCCATGTTGGCTCAGAGAAAGGCAAGCGGAACACGGCTGTTTTTATTTCGGGTTTTCCTGTGAACGATTCCCCTGACATCTGACTCTGACTTCCCGCTTGGAAGGTGAATGGATGGGAATTAAATGATTCTGTTTACTGCCCTCGCTGTTTAACGTGTGCCTGGCGGTTTGCATGGCGCAGTCGTTAGACGGTCGGGGGGCCCTCAGGCTGCAGCCAGCCAATCGGTTCTCGCATCTGCAGCTCTTTCTCCCGCCGAAGCGTTTGCTGTAGAGTCTGTGTCGCATGAGGATGCATGTTCTCCCGTGAATGATGGCGTGAGTGGAGGGTCTCCCGCTGAGGGTCTCCCGTGGGGGTGTCGACTGTAGATTAGAGTCCAGCGCTTTGGCTGCTCTCTCTACCTTTCTTGCCCCGCCTGGCTGGTCCCTCGGAGCACCGCTCTGTTACTTGGTGAGCAGGAAAGCCCTGCTGAATTGGCCTGAATTTGCCCTCCTTTTCCGCAGCCCCCCAGACGTACTTGTTACTCAGGTTCGGGGTGGTTGGGTGGGGGGAGGGGTGTAAGACTGTAAACGGTAAACTTACTGCGTGTCCTTGTCAGAAATTCAGAAATGGCAGCCCTGCTTGCCGTCTAATTAGGGACCATGCTGTCGGGGCGTGGAGGCCCCAATCCCTACCCCCCCCCCCCGGTCATGTGACATGCCCACCCATGCCTGGAATGATGCCCGGCAAGAGGCGGGAGCAGTTTCTGAGAGGCAGTCTCTTCTGTCATGTGACAGGCGGACCACTGATCACAAGCATGATTATTTGCGTACAGATTTGGGAGCTGATATTGAACATCTGACTCTCGTGAAACTAGTTATGTAATAAGTGAGGAGTCACGTGATTGGTTTAGAAAGCAAACAAGGTGTATGAGGTGCTGAATTATTTGGGGGGAGGGCTGTGGGCTCACTGCACACCCCCACGGTAACTGGCGCACAGGTCAGTGCCGTTCCCAGCAGCTTATGGCACCGTGCTGTCCTGCAGGGTCGCGTTCTGCCAGCAGGAATTCTGTAGCGTTTTGTTTGGTTGCATTAGGCATTGATTAATCTGTGGATGTTTATTGCCCTGGAAATTAAGCGTTTAATGCTGTAGTGTTGTCATTTCCATCAGCATGAAGCTCAGTCTTAATTAAACTGTGAGGATTGGAAAGGTAATTACAGGTAATTCATTTTCTTCCGTTTGGGGCTTCCGATTCGGATGAGTTTTGTCGGAATTGTTTTCAGCAAACATGCTTTTGCCTGCAGTTTGCGGTGAAATTAGCCACGTCCGCCTCGCGCATCTCGCTGTGGCGTAACAGACGGTGTCCATAACTTGCCAGCTTGCTCAGTGGAGCGTACACAGCCCCCACCCCCTCCCACCATGCACCAGTGGCGTGGCGGCTCTGATTGGAGGAAATATCTTCAATTACCTTCTTTGTCACGTGACTGAAAATAAAAACTTGAGTGAATCCTTCCATCCTCCCAGTTGACGTCAGACGGCAACATCTGAAAAGATCAGGCCGTTTAATAACATACAAACAGAGCCTAATGAGTAATGGTTGGAAAAATTCCCGCTAGAGTAGTTGGCCAGCTAGCGGCGCTTCTCTAACCCCATGCGCCGTGCGGAGCAGTTTGTTAGCTCTGTGCCTGAGCTCTCTGATGGCGAGATCTTCAAGCGACACATTGTGATTAGGCTGCAAGCCATGAGATGCTGGAAGCGAGTCCTTTCTCCATCTTTACTCCTGACTACGCGAACAGTCGCTTGGGTTCTGGGTTTGACCCCTGACCCCTGCCCCCGATCTCCCCCCAAAACACACACACCCCCCCGTCTGTCCTCTGCGGTTTTACCCAGCCACCTGTGCAACAGGCCTTCAGTTTGGCCACTGGGTCACTTGTATGTGGAGGAAGTCCACCCAGTCCTCAGGGACCCACCCAGTCCACATTTTTGCTGGCAGCCAATCAGGAATGGCTCACCTGGTACCGCTGTGCTGGGAAGGAGCAAAGCTGTGGGCTCTGGGGGTGTCCGAGCAGCTCCCGGAGGTCCATGGTGACGGCTTTTTAACCAGCCACTCCTCAGAGTGGGTTTGTCCCCGGTCGGCTGCGTGAGAATGGGTGGCTCTGCCCAGCGAGTGACTCGTCACCGTCAGCATGACTCGTTTTTTACAGCAGATTGACTGAGGAGTCAATCGCTGGCAGCCCTGCTCATGTCTGTGTGATAAGGGGCTTAAAGTCGGGTCTCGCCACATCGTCCGTCCCGCGCTCACAATGCCGTGTCCCTTGCTGTTTATTTTCTGTGCTGGCCCCTGGACTTGGTCCTCCCCCCAATTGAGAAGGCGGGGGCTTCTGAATAGGAGCCTGAAGGTGGCTTGTTCACTTCAGCTCATCCTGCAGTGGTGACATTTCCTCTCTTTGTGGTTTTCGTGTAGTCTGTTTATTTTTTTATTTATTTTTTTGTCAACGCACTCGCGTGTGCTTTCCGGGGGGGTGGGTGGCTGAGGCAGGGGCTGCGGCTTATTACTATAATTCCTGCACCGTTTATGCTACAGTGATTGTCAGTGACGTAACTGCCAGTTGCGTGGCAGGCTGGTGCCAGCGAGGGCAAGACGCCTGTTTGCCTTCAAAAATATGGACTTGTGTACAATTCCTGGGTATTAATGAGAGCATAAAACTGCTATTAAAGAATCTACAAGCATTAGGCAAGTTTTTTTTCTACACTCCACACGAACACGAGCCCGGGAACAATTTGAGGGAGGATGTTTATCTGAAATGATTTTATGTTAAGCTGCCGCCCACGTTAAGCCGGGACTTGGTGTTCAGATGTCGTGTGCAGTGCTGGTTGGTGAGGTCAGCTGACCCCTAAATGCGTCCTAAGGGTGAGTGTTCAGGCCATTTTGAGCTGAGAACCAGGAAGCGTGCATATGTGGTAGGAGAGTCTGGGTCAGAGAGCCAGGTCTGTGGGGTGGTTGCTGGATGGTGTAGAGGCTGATTTGTGGAGCTGGGTACTTGGTTTTTAATTGCATTAGTCCATTACCTGTGTTTAACTTCCTGTGGTGTCTCACATTCGGCGTTTCTGCTCGGCACGGCGGCACATGGCGGCAACGGTGTCATGTGACCCTTCTCTCCTGTCCCTCTCTACCACAGGCCATTCGCTGCTATGACTCTCTGATCCTGAAGGCCGAGGGGAAGGTCGATCCCGAGCTGTTCTGCCAACTGGGCCACTTCAGCCTCCTCCTGGAGGATTATCCGAAAGGTAAGCGCCTCGCCGTGCCGGCTGGCCAGCCGCGTCTCCGGGATTCACCGTCTGTGTTTATCTTCAGCCGCGGGTCAGACTGTCGTCTCTGCTGTGTGCTGAGAGGCTCCAGCCCCGTTGGTGTCTCGCCGCCGTCTGCGTGCCGTGTTCCTGCAGTCGGACTTCTGGCCGGGTTATTTTGTGGAGATTCCCGTGTGATGGATTAAGACTTCCCAGCTGCAGGTCTCCGGGCCGGAATGATGTGCCTGAAGCTCTGGTTATGTGCCTTTGCTGTGGAGCTGTGTGAAGCGTCTGTTAAGGGAGAAAATGGGGGAATCCCTCTGTAAGATGGGATAGCAAGTGGAAATGGTTGATGCGGGTGAGGGGGGAAGGCAGTTTGCGGCCCTTGTGGATGGTGTTGGTGTTGAGGAGACGCACAGTGAGGTTGTGTGTGACTGGCTCCTGGTGTTTTCTCATGACGGAGTGACCCCCCCCTGCCCAGCAGTCTGTCACGATGAACTGTTAGTGCGAGAGTGCTTCATGGCTGGGGGGGGGGGCTACTTTCCTGCCTATAGCACTATAGCTCCCTCCCCCTCCCACTGCACAGTTTTGTTTTGGTTTGAGAAACACTGGTTTAGGAGCTCATGATGGGGAAACTGTGCCCCCCCCCGCCCCCACTGCCTGTCATACGTCTGCTAGTGAGTGATGTGTTCAGTTACGACAGTCAGCCTGTGTCCTGTGAAGCTGCGAAGATTGACGAAACTCAGGTGATAATATAATGAAAATTCATCTATGATGCCTAAAAGCAAATAGAAAATTTACCGACATGTTTGTCAATGAATAGAAATGACACAAATGTTAGGGACAGACGAATGTGCAGCTGATCCAATCAGATCAGTGTTTCCCCAGGTTTTCAGCTTTGGGGGGGGGGGGGGGTGCAGACGGACACTGACAGGATTCATGGTGTTCATGTGTTTCTTTTAATGACAGCAGCTGAACTAAACATCAGAACATTTCTTTTTATGACAATTATCCACAAAGTGTGCAGCTTTTGTCACTGCAGTGTATCTTTCTGGGCTTCTGGAAGAACATTTCTAGAGCCTCTTGGGAAGTCAGAATTGTCTGGCCCATTAACTGAGATCCGCATGCAGGCTGGTAGATGGTCTCCTTGCAGCCTGTTGCGGATGTTTGTCTTGACCTGCAAATACATTAACTGTTAGGCTTTAAAAGTGATAGCTGATACCTTAAAATAGTGATAGTTTAAAGCAGAAAATCCCATTGTGAAACGTATTTATTACCCTGCTTTTCAGGTGGTTGACGTGACATATTTTCCGACGCGCACTCTCTGTCCGCTGGTGGGTGTGTGCTCACCTGTGTGTGCGTGTGTACGTGTCTGTGCACGCGCATCGGGGCAGAACTCCGCCATGCGCGATACAGAGAGCAGAGGAGAATTGTAAACCCGTGACCATGTAGAGACAAAAATGACAAGCTGTTGTGTAAATAAGATAAATAACATAAGGCTGTTTAGTTTAATATAAAAACAATGTATAGACCTGTTCTATAGGAAAGGTAACCTTAAATGACTTCTGTTGTAATCTGTGATCTTTCTATATAGAAAATAAAATTAACTTGACCTTCAAGCGGGGGTGGGAGGTGCCGTTGGGGGGGCGGGGCCCCCCTAATACAATGGTAGGGGAAACACTGGATCAGTTGTAAGTCAAACCTTGGATTGCGAGTAACTTGGTTTGCGAGAGTTTTGCAAGACGAGCAAAAATTAAAAATAAATATTAACGTGATAAACGAGCGAGGTCTTGCAATTTGAGTATTGCGTATACGCTTTGTCTGCCGAGCGTCACGCGATCACAACTCAGCCGATGGTTGTTCTCTATCTCTCTCTCGCTGCAGGATTGTGGGTAATCGTCTCCCATGCTCGGTCTCAGTCGGCATCCCTCACTTATATAGTCATAGTATATTAGAAAAGCACCACCCAAATAAGGGCGTAGCAGTGCGAGCGATGAATCTGTTTAACGACAAAGCAATGTCCATATTTCCGCAAAATCGAAAAGGAGGCAAAAGCAGCTGTCATTGGATAGGTTCCTTGTTAAAGTCGCACAAAAAGAAAGATTCCAGTGAACAAACAGATAGCAGTGATTCTGTTAGTTATAGTGAGTCATCCTACAAAATAACCCTCCTCTTCTCTCTCTCGTCTCCCTCACACCATCCACGATTCTTTTCAAAGGTAAAGTGCAGGGTAATTTATTTTTACTTTATATTTTGTATTAATAATTTTTATATGAATATTTTTGGGTTGTGGAGCGACTCATCTGAGTTTCCATTATTTCTAATGGGAAAATTCGCTTTGATATACGAGTGCTTTGGATTACGAGCATGAATCCGGAACAAATTATTCTCACAATCCGAGGATTTACTGTATCTTTAAAAAGATCACAGCCCAGTTGGTTTTCACTCGTCTGACAGTTGTTTACACTTTTGAGAGAGGACATGTAAGTTTTCTGTATTCCAGGGGTCTGTTTCACAAAGCAGAATTACTTGCTTAGCCAGATAACTTGCCAGATTTAAGGTTGACCTGGGCTAAATAGAACTTACTTTTCGCCCAGACTAGCTTAAATCTGTTATCTGGCTAAGCAAGTAATCCTGCTTTGTGAAACAGGCCCCAGGTCTATGCACTGCTGTTTTTTATTATATGAATAAAGATGCATCACATGCAAGTGTCTTGTATCTCTCTTCCCCACGGTCACACCGGCCCCTAACCCCGTAACCCTTTCCTCTTTCTCCCTTGCAGCATTATCTGCGTACCAGAGGTACTTCAGTTTACAGTCGGACTACTGGAAGGTGAGCCTCATACCGTCTCTCTCCGGGGGCGTGGTGGGGGTGTCTGGCAGTCACCGCCTGTCAGGCGCAGTGACACGGCGCTTTGTCCACCCGTCGCATTCTCTGCAGTCCTGCAAGGCGGCGACATCCTCCGCCATTGGGGTTAGTCCACACCTGCCCAGCTCTGCCGCGAGGCCCACTGGCGCATTGCCTGCTCACACGGTCACTGTGTCATGCTCCTTTGCGGTCATGCCCCCCCCCCCCTGTGTGGGAAACACCCCTTCTCACTGCTCCTCTCAGTCTCACCTCTGTTCAGACCTTAGGGTAGGGAGGAGCACTAGGGGCTGAAGTGGTGCTTCAGGCCATATCAGGTGGCCTTTGGGCTCTGGATAGGGCTGTGTGCCCGTGAGTGTGTGTGTGCGCATGTGTGCCCAAGTGTTTATACATGTTAGTGTGTGCGTGCCTGTGTGTGTGTGAGCGTGTGTGTGTTAGTGTGCCCGAGTGTGTATACATGTTAGTGTGTGTGTGCCTGTGTGTGTGTGAGCGTGTGTGTGTTAGTGTGCCCGAGTGTGTATACATGTTAGTGTGTGTGTGCCTGTGCCTGTGTGTGTGTGCCTGTGCCTGTGCCTGTGTGTGTGTGTGTGTGTGTGTGTTTTCGCGTGTTATGGGTAAAGCCCTTTTTATTCATCAGATTGGGTCAATCACGTGTTTTCACACTGACTTGCTTCAGCCACGGTCCTTGGGCCCGATCAGCATTGCTGTGACTGGGGTGGTGGCTGACAGGCTTGGGCCGCATGGCCGTCTGTGACGCTGCAGACGGAAGAAACGCCTCCATCTGTTATTCTCAGCGGAATGTGAATGGAGGACAGTGATGGCAGGGGAGGGGGGCTGCCACCTCCCTACCGACAGGTGTGACGGGCTTCGTGCTTGCAAGGAGGGCTGCTGCAGGGGACGGCCTCTGATTGGTGGGCTCCGCAGCCCAGCTGTGGCCCCTCTGCACGTCCCTCGATGTGAATCCTCTGGCTGCATGTGCGAGTCAGAGCTGTCAGGGGGTCACATGCAGCATGTTTGGAAGGGAGGCCAAGGGCCTCTTGCTTCTGTGACGGTGCGCCGCCGCCGCCGCGCCCCCCCCGTCCCCCCCGTCTGTGACGGCGCTCCTACATTACAGGCTGGTCCCTCCGTCTTCCTGTGGCACCGGTACTGCATCGGTTCGCTGATTTAGGTCTTTTATGTGACGTGGCTGAGATTTAAGCCCTTCACCAGCACTGGGGCTCTGGCTCTGGCTCGGTGACACAGCCTGGGAGCTTGTGACCGCGGTATCATCCGGCATGTTTGGTGCGTTCCAGGAGCTCTCTTCAACTGGGTGGGATGGACATGCCCTCTGCAAGCCCCCCCCCCCCCCCCCACCCACCCAGCTCGTGCCACAGATGTTCCCTCTAGGTCTCTGTCACATGCTTCAACTTTCGTTTCCAGTTTTGTCTGTCGCTCTGTCTGCCGTCAGCTGTCACTTGGCTGGGCTTGGCTGGGGTATGTCCCCTGGCATGCAGATGATGTGCAGATGAGAAGAGCAGGAGTCTGGCACTGGGCCGCGATGGCAGGCGTGTGGGCGGGCTGCCCTTTGGTGCTGCTGGCTGTCTTGCACAGCGTGGGGCTGTGCGCTTTGAGATGTGCGCCGATTGCAAGCCACTGGTGAATCGGCTGTGGTCCCTTGGCTCTGACGGGGAGGTGGTGGTAGCGGATGAGACCTGAAAAGGCTGTGGGTCAGCGTCACTGCGCTCGGAAACCCCAGCTGCTTGTGGGAGGCGTCGCATGCAGGGAGCTGTCACGTTTCCTTCAGAGCTGTTGGCGGTTTCTCAGTCTGAGTAACTGCAGAGGCGAATGTGTCACCAGTAGGGCTCTGTGTCGCCATTGGCACCAGCGGGGCTGTGTCGAGCTCTGTGTCGTCGCCGGTGCCGGCGGGGCTCTGTGTCGAGCCCTGTGTCGTCGCCGGCGGGGCTCTGTGTC